AATCGTTAAAATATTCATCATCATCATCATCACAGCCCTTCACAAGTCCACTGCTTAACATAGGCCTCCCCCAAGGAATGCCACAAAGCACGAACCTGAGCCACCTGCATCCATCGATTTCCTGCATGTCTTACCAGGTCATCACTCCATCTATTGGGGGACGCCCTACACTTCGCCTGCCTGTACGAGGCTGCCACTCGAGAACCTTTTTTCCCCATCGGTTGTCGGTTATTCCAGCTATATGACCGGCCCATTGCCACTTCAGCATACTAATTCTTGGGGAGGCTGGAAGTCGTCGAGTTTGCGTGCGAGACGATTCGTAATGACTCTCGACAACAGCACGTAGACGCGGCCCAGAAGGGAGATCGGTCTGTAGTTCTTCAAGAGAACGTTGTCACCTTTCTTGAAGAACAAGACCACCGCACTTCTACTCCACGCCTCCGGTGGAGTGCCACCATGGAGGACGGAATAAAAGAGATTCAGAAGGACTTTAAGTACCGGTTTTCCACCCGCTTTCAGAAGCTCCGCTGTAATTCCATCCTCGCCTGGGGTCTTGTCGTTTTGAAGGCGCTGGAGAGTCATTCTATTCTCGCTCAGACTGAAGTCCGGGATATCATCGGAATAGTGTCGGATAAGACTTGCTCTTGGATCGTTACTCACACTTGCATGTGGCTCCAACAATGACGTGTACAGCTGCCCATAGAACCTCTCAATCTCACTCAAAATCTCAGATGTCTCCTGGAAACGATGCTGCCACATTCGGTTTTCAGCTTCGAAAGTTGGCTTTTTCTGGCAGATAGATCTCTGACAAAGACTTTGGAGCCCTAGTTCTGGTCGATCGCTTTTTCAATACGAGCAGTATTAAAGTTGCATAAGTTCCACCGCTTGCGTTTGGAAATCTATTTGTTTAGTTGCCTGAATGCTGTCAAATCTGTTGAAGAATGTAGCTTTATCTCCCGTCTAACAGCCATGAAATTAAGAGTGTGGTCGGAGAGTATTTGTGTCCTTCTGCGGCGGGTCTTGCAGAACTTAGCTCAGACCAAATGGACAGTTTCCACAAGCTTGTCGAATTTGCGCGTGCGCCGATTAGAGATACGGTTTAGAATTTGGAAAGCGCATTCCCTTTTTCAAGGGCGTCGCCGGTTGACTGTTTTGGAGATCATTGTAATTGTGCCGTCGAGGCGTATTTTGAATTCTTATCGCGGCGTAGTATTTGAAATCGAACGAAGGAATTTAGTTGTAGTTTGTAACGCTGAAATTTGTGACTCGTGAAGAGATCGCGTTAGTTACCGATTTGTAATTTTGTGATAAATGAATCCGGAATAGTGAATGTTGAACTTTGACCTACTGTGCGTTACTTGAGTCGGTTATCACGTGTTCGATTCTGTATGAGTTGAGTTGAAGTTAGTTAACTGTACAATAAATTTGATAGACTGCAATAGGGACATGAAGAAAGAAATTGACCGTGGGTGACGCCGCTGGAGATCACCATAATTTGGAGCGGTGCCGGAGTCAGGGTTGCTGCTGACTTCAACGGTACAGTCATGTCAACCACAATCCACACCACTAAAAACACCACTACATATTCACCTACACACCTTCGGCCGAACCTTTGGGACAGTCTTCGCCTCAAACCCAGGTACGTACTATTTATTTGACTAGCCTTCTCCCTATAGTGTAGTATGATAGGACATTTTTCCATATGGCTATTTGAGCTCAAGCCCGCGGCTGCCCGTTGAATCTTCCGCTCATGGGCCCCGGGATATTTGATCTTTGCAGGGGCAGCTGTGGGCCGTAACAGAGAGTTAAGTATATTTCTTCCTCAAGATGTTAATTCCTAATTTATATTATTGATTATTTATGTTTTTTTTTTTAAATAAATAACATATTTACAAATAAAGAATTTTGACAGAACCAGAACTTTGAATAGAATATAATTTATTCCTAATTTATGTATTATATGAATGGTGGCGACTTTGTTGTGTGAGACGGCACCCCACTCGCACCTCAACTTATTGTCGCTGAGGGTACAGTTTTTGTTTTTATAGTTTTAATCTCATAATACCGCCATCTACCTACTGGCTAATAAACTAATAATAAGTGATGAAATTAATGAGAATTCTATTGAATACTTTTTTTATCTTCAAGCATCAAAAATTGTCAGACTATCTAAACCGGTGTCGGGATGATTTATCGTTATTTTCAAAATGGTTAACAGACACTGTGTACACAAAACTGTGTTTATGACAGAATATATTTAGTTGAATATGTTGGGTATCTATCGGCATAGCAATATTTCACCAACTTATTTTTGTAACAAAATAGATAATTGAAAATGAAGTGAACTGTAAGATTTTCATATCTTAATGATTGAATAGATTGACTGACTAATTAAAATGTAAATTGGGTCCACAATAGTGCAAAAGCTTATTTGAAGTGTTTATGAATTTATTTATGCAAATACGATAGCTGTGTAGCCCGCCGTAAGATTTCAATGCACAAGAACAGAAGAGTTCAATTCCCGCGAGGCCCAATGAAACTACTACTACTACCTGCCTATTTAGATTTTTGTTATAGTCAGTTTATCATGAATAGAACTACATTTGTGAAACTTTAACTTTGATTGAAGTAGTTTTAATGATATTTCTAAATTGAAGCCAACGTAAGCGAAGTCGCAGGTAAAAAGCTAGTAAGTTATATTTCTTTCAGTGAATAGCCCTAATAAATATGCATTAGTACCCAAACACGGATATATTTCTCTTGAATTTCCTAAATCCGTTCTTCGATTATGAGTATCCACCATATATTAATAAAATTTGAAGAAGGGTAATAAGGTATATGGGAGCTAGAAGCTGGAATAGTCACAATAGATACATCTAGATTGAGATAAACTGTGTTATGCTCCTGTACAGAGTTGTGATTCCGTAGGCAATGTTAATAACTACCACGGCATCCAAGAAAACATTACATAATATAAAATACATAAATATGAGAAACGTATTTTTCATCCAATTATGTCGAGAGACAGAAGAGACTCCAAACGTTGAATTTTAAATTGATGGATATTTTCCATTGAGTCACTCAGCTTTTAGGATTGTGGTGTACACGTTCGGTCTCCTGAGATTAAACAGGTACAATCTAACTCCATTTTCCGCATCAGCTTTTGGTTGTTGAATAAAATATGCATTCGATTCCTGTGTCCTTAATTTCAGGACGAAATGGAGTGATGGATTTTGCTTACACCGCCTCCATATGTCAAAAATACAATATTTTTTATATTTCTTCTACGCCAATGTTTCACTTTGTTTTTATTTGGATATGCGTAAATGTATTCGTTTGCATAGATTTTTTTTCAATTGTTTTAAAGCTGAGTAAGTAGTAAAATATCTTTATTAAAATACTTGTAAGGTATAATTTCATCAGTAAAACTCATCATTCACGGCATAATCACAAAAGGTTCTGTATAAATTTTCTGTACAAAAATTCTTAGCTACTTAAATAAACTGATTGAGTTAACAATTACTTGAATTGCAAGCTTCTATGATAAGAAGGGAACGAAAATTCTTTTGACATTTTTGGGCCATAAGATAATGCAATAAAAATATAGAAGAAACATATATTATGAATCTTTGAAGCCCAACCCGATATTCCTTTACCAAAACAAAGTAGTAGCATATAATTTTTTTTTTATAGGGTCTAGTAACAAACGATCACACAGTCCACCTGATGGTAAGTGGTTGCTGTGGCCCATGGACATCTACATTTATCTTCGTTTGCGAATCAAAACGCAGATGCGTTGTCACTCGTGAGGACTAAGATGGAATGCCTCTTTTCCAGTAAAAAGGGTCTCCGGTTCTCTACACTCACCATACGAAACACAGCAGTGTTAAACTGCTATTTGACGCTGGTATTCTGTGAGAGCGTGGTCCTTCCCCGGTCGAGCCGACCGAGGAGGAGAGTCTTTTTGTTTGTCCTATTAAGAGAGGTCACATTCACAATCAAGTTTGTACACTTGTTTGTACACTGCATCTTGTAGAGGGATATTACACTTGATGAATGGTAAGCACTGACTAATCTTCTTTGGCGGAACATACTACAAGCCGCCGAAGAATAGTAGTCAGTGCTTACCATACAAAAAGTTAAACATGTTTTAGGTTTAGTTTTTGCGTCTTTATTAAACAATTAGTTTAGTTTCAGTCAGCCCACCTCCCGCAGTACGTTTTTTAATGATACAAGATATTTCAATTTGGCTCGTAAATAAAAAGTGGAGGAAAATTTGAAATTGGAACGTTCGTATATTTACTTGTAAATAATCATACTTTCTAAATAAATTATAATTAGCCAGTTTCTTAAACAAAAAATCGCATGTTTTTTTGATTTAGTATTTAATTTTTTTTGCGTTGTTTGGCGTGTACTTTTTCGTCACACAAGTTGTACTTATCTATACTCTTTAACAAAATTTCTTTGAAAGTTGTCTTATTGCTGATCTTTTGTTTGTTGCTTTGAAGCTTCTTTGATTTCTGGAGGGGTACTAATTGGCAAATAAATGTCGTGTTATTGTGTTAATTGCTTTGGAGCGTAACAATTACTATATTTGCTGTCCAGTGGGAAATGGTAATAAAAAAATATTTTTTCAGAATTTCCTTCTGTCCAGTGCAATGTTTTTGCGATATAAATGACATAAATGATACTGGGAAAAGATTAAGATGTAATGTATAGATACAGAACAATAATAGGTATATTTTCTTTGTATTTATCTTCACGTAAAATCCATATCTCGACATGGGCTAATTAGGCTGTAAAGAAGATTTGCCTTTTTCATCATTATTCATCACGCTTGAAAGGTGTTTTGGCGATCGACGTCTTGCATCTTTGACAACACCTTTGAAATAAAACGACTTCATGTTCTATGGCTAATATTAGTGAAATTTATTAAGTAGCATAAATATAATGTTGTCAAAATAATAATTTAATGTTACTTTACTATTTATATTTTAAATTTAAATTGGTAAAACTGCCGGCGACTGGTTCTTGTTATCTTCTATTGGTAGCACATTTTCCGGTTCTTTTTTAACATTCTGGGTTTGAATCGGAGTATTAATGAGACATTCGACGTAAGATGGCGGCTGATCATTAATTGGCTGTGATTTCTCTGCTCTTAAGAGCCTTATACAGATATTCATTATTATTAAAAATAGTGCCTGGATGCCTGTAAATAAATAAGAAGCAACTTCAAAAATAATCTCAATTCCACTGTAATACGTTTTCTTTTGTATCTATGTTATGCAATAACTTTAACAATTGCGAACTGTTTTAAATCTAAGTATATATATATATATATATATATATATATATATATATATATATATATATATATATACTTAGATTTCCACCTATGATCATCTCATCACGATATCTCTGAAACCGTAAAGCTTAGAGACTTGAGATTTATTTATGAATATTCCTTTCGGCGGGTTAAGGTCAGCTGAGAACGTATTTTATGAAATTCCACCCGCAATGGGGTTGCGGGGGCGTTAATTTTTAAAAATGACATTTTGTACTGACTCATCATAATATCTATGGAACCATAAGGCCTAGAGACTGGTAGGAATATTCCTTTCGCCAAGTAAGGGTCAGCTAAGAACGGATAGTACGAAAATACCTTCGCAAGGGGTGTTGCAGGGGCCTTAATTTAAAAATAATTAAGATTTTTAAACTATAGCTCTTATAGGTATAAAACTTGACCAGTATATTCATTTATATGTGTTTGAATGGGTCCCTAAATGCTTTAGATTCACGATTAGAGCCGGTAGGTGGAACGGTTATCGATATCCAGAAATCACTCAAATATAGGATATTTTTTGCATAAATAATAAATAAGCATTAGTTAAATATCTTTACATTTATATTATATAATTCTACTGTGTGTGTATGTGGCTGAACTCCTGTTAACCTGTGTGTGTGTGTGTGTGTGTGTGTGTGTGTGTGTGTGTGTGTGTGTGCGTGCGTGCTTGCGTGCGTGCATGTGCGTGTGCGTGTGCGTGTGTGTGAGCGTGTGCGTGTGCGTGAGCGAGTGCATGTGCGTGGGCGTGGGCGTATGCGTTTGCCTGTGCGTGTGCGTGTGCGTGTGCGTATGCGTGTGCGTGTGCGTGTGCGTGTATGTGTACGTGTTCGTGTGCGTGTGCCTGTGCGTGTGCGTGTGCGTGTGCGTGTGCGGGTGCGTATACGTCTGCGTGTACGTGTGCGTGCACGTGTTCGTGTGCGCGCTCATGTGCGTATGCGCGTGCGTGTGCGTGTTCGAGTGCGTGCTCGTGTGCGTGTGCGCGTGCGCGTGTTCGTGCGCGTGTGCGTGCGCGTGTTCGTGCGCGTGTGCGTGCGCGTGTGCGTGAGCGTGTGCGAGGGCGAGTGCGATTGTGTGTGCGTGTGCGTGTGCGTTGCGTGCGCACGTGCGTATGCGTGTTCGTGTGCCTGTGCGTGTGCGTGTGCGTGTGCGTGTGCGCTTTGCGTGTGCGTGTACGGGTGCGTGCTCGTGTTTGTGTGCGCGTGCGCGTGCTCGTGCGCCTGCGCGTGTGTTTGTGCGTGTGTGTGTGTGTGTGTATGTGTGTGTGTGTGTGTGTGTGATTTACAATGAAATAGGTTAAGATTCACAATTGGACCCGATAGATGGCGCTTTTGTCAATATAGAAATCACCCGTGTGAAACCGGGGCGGAACGCTAGTTAGGTATATTTTATTCAATATGTTATACTTCAAGAAAGTTGGTTCTTATTTAAATCTAAAGAGAAAATTCCACCTGTTTGGGAAAATCGGGGATAAAGAAATCGGGGATAAAAATAATTTTTAACAGTGGTAGAGCCACGCGGCAGCTTTTGCTGTCGCATGGATGGGCCGGCTCGAACCGGGGTAGTACCACGACCTCACAGAAAACCAGCGTGAAGTAGAGGTTCACCTCTGCGTTTCGCTTGGTGAGTGCAGGTGGCCGGAGGCCCTTTTTACTGGAAATGAGGCATTCCATCTTGGTCCTCGCGGGTGGCAGTGCATCTGCATTTTGATTTGTAATAGAGGATAGATGTAGATGTCGGGTGGACTGTGTGCTCGTATGTCACCCTTATCGTATAAAAAAAATGTGCCTGTTTAGATGACATTCTTACTCTTGTGCTTAAATAGTTTAACCATTCATAGTCATTTTCTCATCATAATTTTAAAGATTACAAAGATTCGATTTGTCTCGCGGAGACTATTCACAAACATACATTTCATAAGGACAATTATCCAGACCCGGAACAATTATTTGTAGTACGTAAAAAAATTGTTCCGTGCGGGATTCGATCCCGCGGCCCATAGCGCCAAGTCTAAGCTACTGTACTTTGACGCTGCCAAAATTGTGTCCTTCCTCCTTTTGTTTCCATCGTACAAAACAAGCTGGCAATAATACTTAGTTAAAGGAAAAAAAAACAACTTTTAACAAAAAGTAAAGCCAACTTTAAAGAATTAAAAAGAATAATATAATTTTCCAAATCCCGCCTGAAGCCGGTGAAAAATGTTAGGCCCGACTTCAGCAGCTATTGTGTGGGAATTATTTAATTCTTTGAAACAGATTTTACATTTCATTAAAAGTTTAATTTTTTCATCCTTCTGAACGGACTAAGGAATATTACAAACTCAAGGTTTGTGATATCCAACAACAATAGAATCTAATTAGTTAAATTATAAATGTTATCTATTTTTCACCTGTATATGTGGATTTTTTTTTAAAATATGGCCACTCCTGAAATATATTATATTTAATAAACACAAATCATTAAAATCAGTTCACAATTGTTGTAAATGAGTATTCGCAAGCACAGGTGCACGCTCTATTCGCTCATAGTCCCATGGGACTGCAAGCCAACACGACCGGAGAGAGATCAGAAGTATGATCAACGACTTTACGTGCTTTCTGAGGCACACCGCCAACTTCCTAACTCCGGGCTGTTAATGAGAATTTCTCTACAGAAAAACTCATTTACTGATTTTTGTTGGCCCGACCCAGGATTCGGACCTGGGTTCTCATGATCACCAGCCGCGTTAACAACATAAAATTATACATATCATAAATTCGAATACTTTTGAAGTTAGCTAAAATCAATGATGACAAAGCACTAGTCATTATCTCAGGGCATTTGTGATTAATGTCATTATGAAGTTGCTTTCCTTGCACTAACTTATAATTTAACCCAATTGTAGTAAATTTCACACGACGTACATAAATATATGTCATTGTTAATTGTAGAATAAGATATATAGTCCATTTAAAGTCATGGAAGACACACGTCTCTTATTCGACACCTTCCAATATTACACAGTACACAATATTACACAATAGTACACATTCTTATCGATCTCATCTGGTTAAATTTCGAATGAATGTAAATTGCGGTAAATTTGTACGTATTTGCACATAAAATTGTTACGAATATACTAACTACTCACATATATCTAAAATTATCCACAACCAAAAGTCCTCGGCAGTGATAAGAGTGATGGGTTGGAAGGCAAGGTATATTACTTGCGCGGCCAGTTTCACTATCGATAAACCGTAGAACATTCGCATTCGTTCCGGATCTCTCTGGAAACATAAAAATGTGTTTAGTTAAATATGCAGTCGCGTTTTCTGAAATATTTACATCTCTTTCCATTTCATTTCATCTCGTGAGCTCCGTCAGACGTGGTTATCTGGAATGTCATTAAAACCTTAGCTCCAGTTCGATGGCATTACAAGTATCTCAATTTTGTTAACGCCAGAAATAAAATACCAAGCTGGCGACAGGCAGCGATGTCAAAGGTACGACACATCTTTTTTTTACTATTTTAAGCCAGTACTTGACTCTTATCCCACCTGAAGATAAGTGGTGATGCAGTCGAAAATGGTAAAGCGAACTGACTTAGCTTACGCGAAGAAAGACGATATAGTTTTCTACACTTTTCACGTGATAGAGCTATCCTGCAGCTATATTAGTGGTATAGTTGTAGTATGGATGGGTCGGCTCCACCGGGGAAGAACCGCGCTCTGACAGAACACCAGCGTAAAATAGCAGCTTAAAGCTGCTTTGTTTCGCGTATCGTGAGTGTAGAGAACCGGAGACCCTTTTTACTGGAAACGAGGCATTCCATCTTAGTCCTCAGGGGTGACAACGCATCTGCATTTTGATTCTTAATTGAGAATAAATGTAGATGTCTATGGGCCACAGCAACCACTTATCATCAGGTGGACTGTGTGCTTGTTTGTCACCCTTATCCTATATTAAAAAAATCTTACTACTACACAAAAAAACTACTTACAATTTTTATATACATATATTTTTGAACTAATTCAAAAAAAATTACCTTATGAGAAGCGGCTATGAAAGTAATCACCAGCCTTAACCATATCACGTTCACTAAGAAATTAAGTACATCATTTAACGAGACATGTAGCATTCCAGGGTAGCATTTCCGTTGATCCGATATTGGCATATATTTGACGTAACTGCTAACTCCGCGCGTAATGATAATCGGGAAGGGGTAAAAGCCGTGTGTTCCTAAGTTTAGAAAGAATAAAATGGGATCTAACCACTGCCAGTCAACTGCAAGTAGCTGAAAATATAAAATTAAATTACTTATAATATATTAATACAATTAATAAAAAAATATTTGGTCCAATGTTGGTTTGGGACTTACAGTCCCCTAAATATGTTGGACTTGTAACAAAAAGAATGTGCCAATTGTGTTACTTTATGTATAAAATTCTTATTCCGTTTTTATGTGACTGAACTCCACCGAAACAGCTGAGCGATTTTGATTGAATTTTGTCTTTGTGTTTTGTTTAGAACGACAGTTGGACCCGATAGGTTGCTAAGATAGGCTGTTGTTAAGATCCAGATATCACCCGTGCGATGCCGAGGCAGATCGTTAGTTCTACATAACATTTAGAGATATAATAATTAAAAACCAAATGATTGTCTGTTATGGGTTATTAACTCATAACAGACAGTCATTTTGATCATTATACGGATATTTAAGCACGATAATAATACTTTATTTTTCTTAATAAATATGATCGAATAGCATTATAAAGAAATATAGCATTATAATGAAATATGGCGGATAAAACGGATATAAATTTAGATAAAAAAATGCCGTACTACAAGCGATATAGGCGAAAATTTTGTAATGTATTTAGATGACCTTGGTATTGTGATCTTCTTTAGTCCACTTTTATGTTTTAAAAAAATATCTTTTAATAATAAGTAAATATTGTCGACTTTAAGGAACTAAAAGAAAACTAGGGAACTAGTAAAAAGGAAAACAATTTCACATTTTGAATTCGGGGCTTTTCTTCGTCTATGCACTATATCTTAGCACTGCCTTCAGATATAAAGTTAACCAACACACCCTCGAGTATCGTGGCATACTCTTCCATAACATAGTAAATTATCTTAACTCAGAAGAGCTCTATTCCCTGCAGAAAGATTTTATAAAAACACAGAAAACAAACTAACGCTTCTTGAAATATGTATCAAATAAATAATTATATGTTCATTTGCAAAATAAAAAAATGGTAAACTTAATTATTATAAAACTAATTCCATAAATGGATATAAAGGTTGACAGCGTTACAATTGTATATCCATCCATCCATTCATTGCTGTATTTTAAAGCCTACCAAAATTCCAAAGCTGAATATAGAGCTCCTAGCTAATCTATGGGAGATTTCACCACAAAGGGGATGTGTGCCATAGTTGTCACGGTTCTATGGCGTGTTGGACATCATTATCATCATCATTACAGGCCTTCACAAGTCCACTGCTGAACATAGGCCTCTCCCAAGAAATGCCACAAAACACGGTCTTGAGCCACCTGCATCCATCGATTTCCTGCATGTCTTACCAGGTCATCACTACATCTAGTGGGGGGGCGCCCTACACCTAGTCCGCCGGTACGAGGCCGCCACTCGAGAACCTTTTTTCCCCATCGGTTGTCGATTCTTCGAGCTATATGGCCGGCTCATTGCCACTTTAGCCTACTAATCCGTTGGGCTATGTCGGTCACTCTGGTTTTAAGCTTAAGTTTTCTCATTTCTAAGTTTATCACGCAGAGAAACTCTGATTTTATGTGCAAATACGAGTTGAATTCGTTGATTGACCTCTCGGTCGAAGTTGGACTTACCTAGTCGGACTATTTGTCCCAGGTAAACATACTCGTCAACAACTTCGAGCGTAGTGCTCTCAACAACTAGCGGTATAGGTGTGACATGGACATTAAAGATGATCTTTGTTTTGTCCATGTTCATCTTAAGACCTATCCGTTGGGAGACGCTATTGAGGTCATTGAGCATAGTGCTTAGGTCCTCCAGCGATTCTGCCATAAGGACTATAATATCGTCGCCAAATCGAAGTTGAATGATGTACTCGCCATTGATGTTGAAATCGTATTTTTTCAGTCCAGTAGCTTGAAGACGTCTTCCAATGCAGCGGTGAAGTTTCGGGGATATTATGTCACTATGTCTTACACCTATCCGTACTTGGATACGTTTCGAACTCTGGTTCTGTACTCAGATAGCCATCGTAGCCCTACTGTACAAACACTTCAGCACTTCGATATACCGATAATCAACTTGGCACCGCTGCAGGGACTGTAGCACCGCCCAAAGTTTGACGAAATCAAAGACGTTCTAATAGTCCACACACGCAAGGCAAAGTGGCAGATTGTACTCTAATGTCTTCTGTACAATTTGCCGAAGGGTGTGTATGTGGTCTATGGTACTAAAGCCTTTTCGGAAACCGGCTTGTTCGGGAGGCTGGAAGTCGTCGAGTCTGCGTGCGAGACAATAAGTCTCGTACGTGCGAGACAATGACTCTCGAAAACAGCACGTAGACGTGGCTCAGAAGGGAAATCGGTCTGTAGTTCATCAAGAGAGCGTTGTCGCCTTTCTGGAAGAACAAGAACACCAATTGACGCCTCCGGTGTAGTGCCACCATGGAGGAGGGAATTAAAGAGCTTTTGAAGGACTTCAAGTACCGGGTTTTCACCCGCTTTCGGAAGCTCCGCTGTAATTCCATCCTCGCCCGGGAACTTTAAGGTGCTGGAGAGCCATTATAATCTCGCTCAGACTGACGTCTGAAATATGTTCGAAGTAGTGTCGGATCTCGAACTTGGATCGTTACTCACACTTGCGTGTGGCTCCAACGATGATGTGTACAGCTGCCCATAGAATCTCTCAATCTCACTTCAAATCTCAGGTGTCCAGGAAACGATGCTGCCACACTCAGTCTTCAGCTTTGACAGTTTGCTCTTCGTTGCGTTTCGGGACTTTGGACTAGAGCACGAGGGGGCGGAGCGTTGACTTCATTAGACGTGACCTCTTCAACTTAACGTTTAGGTTCTGTGTGCCTCTAACCGTTCGGTGATCGCTACCAGTTTTCACCCTCGCGATCACTGGGACATCACTGAACAGTTGTGATCTGGTCGTCATAATGAAGCCAATCTCATTTTTGTCGAACCGTCGGGGCTCGACCAGGACCACTTCCTGTGGGGCCGCTTCTGTAAGAAAGAATTAATTGTAAAAGTCCCTTTTTGTAATGAAGTCGGCCAGCTGCTGGCCCCTTGGGTTCCGTTTTCCCTATTCCGAATTTCCCTACTTTCAGCTCACCGTTCGCTCTTGTGCCTAGTTTTGCATTGAAGTCTCCCATTAACACCGTATAGTGGGTTTTGGAGGAATGCATGGCTCTAGAAATAGCCTCATACATTTTCTCCACCTCCTCATCAGGGTGTGCCGAAGTTGGTGCGTAAACCTGTATGACCTTCAGCGAATACCGTTTGATGATTCTGAGTATAAGGTATGCAACCCTCGTCGATACACTCTCAATCTTTACAACGTTGTTAACGAGAAACTTGTGGACGATAAATCCGACACCTCCTTGGAACAGATGGTCGCCCTTCCGGTGATAGAACAAGTTGCCGGATTCGAGGATTACCGTGTCCTCCATCTTTCTTCGGACCTCGGATAATCCTATAATATTCCAGCGCAACTTGTCTATCTCTTCTTCCAGCTCCAGGATCTTCTCGTCAGTCCTCAGGGTGCGTGCGTTATAAGTTGCCAGGTCGAGTCGTCGTAGGTGGCAACCGAACCTCCACCGGAGATTCTTAGCACCCCCTGCCCCGCCGTTACCATGGTCTCCACTGAAGCCAGGAATTGCGGGGCCGCTGGGGACTGGGGGCCATTTTTTCATAACTTTTTTCATTGGGGGGTATATTGCCATAGTTGCCACGCTTTGCGACCGGGTTGGCAACCGCAGTTTTTTAATTGGGATATTTCTATTATCAGGAAGATGCTTCTGTTCCTCTCCAGCCTGTTTACCACTGCCGCCTTTTACGACACCCACGGGAAGATATGGTGTAGTGGATATTCTTAACCGCAACTACACAGCAAGGCGTGTTGATAACAGTTATTTTCAAGTTATTTTGTGTTGTTATCAGGAAGATGCTTCCTGTCCATCTCCTCTTTCATTTACCTCTGATGCCTCTTTCGACAAACACGGGAGTGGTAGTAGATTCTCTTACAGGGTATTTCAATGGTCTAGCTATTTTATGGCTGCAGCAAGAATGAGTCTGCTCGACCGGGGAAGGACCAGGTACTCACATTACACCAGCGTTAAATAGTAGCTTAATGGTGCTGTATTTCGTATGCTGAGTGTAAAGAACCGAAGACGCCTTTTACTGATAACAAGGCACTACGTCTTAGTACTCAGGTGTGACAACGCATCTAAATTACATTCTTAATCGAGTATAAATGTAGTTGTCTATGGGCCACAACATCCACTCAATATCAGAGGCGGGTTTCTTGCTCGTTTATCACTCTTATTCTATAAAATTTAATACACAACATATAAAATTTAAAAAATAACTTACACTGTTCGCATCTATGTCACACTGGAAGCCTCCAGAAACGATAGATACAAGGAGCAAATGGCATGCGATATTCAATGAAGTCGATAACTGGAATTGCAAAAATGTTTTTAAGTTAGGGCTCTTTTCCTGAATAAAACTTCGGGTTGGTACTGAGGGTTGTCAATCGGAATATATAATATAGTATAGTACTATATTTTCTTTGGAGGTGGATATAATATTTATATCCACTGTAACAAAAATGTATATTTATCAAAATACTGTATTCTGATTTACCGATAATAGTTTTTTAATTGAAGCATCCTATCTTAATTTCGTAGAATACTAAAATCATATGTAAAGTACTATAGTATTCACATTTGTTCGTAGAATGTCAAGCATGCGGCTCACCAGATTATAAGTGTCGACCACCGCCCATGAACTACTGCAACGCCAAAAGAATTGCAGGTGCATTGCCGGCCTTTTAAAAAGGAGAAAGCTCGTTTCTTGAATGACTCTAAGTCATATCGGTCGGTGGTAAACGATTCCATAATGTAGTCGTCCGCGGAAGAAAACTCTTACTCGTAAATCGCACATTAATGTGGATAGTATCGTAAGTTCTGTCACGATGTGCGTTGGTGAAATTTGAAATATGTCGAGTGACGATTTAAAGGGTAAGAATCAGTAAAATGTAATGTGTGTGGATAAGGAGTTAAATAATTTACCAGCGTCTGTCTACCCGTCAAATACTATGTCGGTGTTTTTTCTTATAAAACTGAAGCGACTCACGAATTTAGAGTCAGATATATATTTACGCGTAAATCTTCTAGCTATTCGTGGCAAAATGCCTTCATGTGTTTTTAGGTGGTGCACAAATTACACGGCAACTGTTAGAGACTAGAAAACGTCTCATTAATATTTTGAATAATTGTTCATAATTGGTTTTATTATTTCAACCCTAATCGCTAGTGTAAACTTTGACGCTAGCTAGTGTGTTCATTTCCCATATCGGTATGTCACGCGCTCGCGCCAATGAGCACTCGACAGCAATCAATACGCAACTAATGATGTTGTATATTCATCTTTTTCTAACGATAGGTATGCCCTATCATTTGTCTCTTTTTGTTAGCGCAACGTATCATAATAAATAACTATACGTAGATATAGTACTACCTGCGCCACTTTAAAATACAATAATGTTAGTATGTAATATATCAATATATTATTAATACGTAAATGGAAAACTTTGTATCTCTTTTTTGGCTTAAAATAAATAGTATCTGAATAAAATAATATATAATGTCTTGTTTACTTCTCATCTAAAAGGGAAACTCTGTGGAGAAGCTGTAGTAGATTGAGCACTGCTTGCTACCAGGTATAGTATGTGTGATCCGGATACTCATCGCGGCATGTTACGATATACTTATATTAATGAAATAGCGGCAACGTTGTAACACCACGTCATTGCCGCAAAGCAACTTATGACCTAGCTCCAAGTCATAAACTAGCTTTTCCTCTACACTTCTGTTACACACACTGTTATTCTGACTATGAAACTAATCTGGTTTTATTATATTATCACCTATTTATATTTTATTTACATAACGTAATTATATACAATATTTAAAACAAGATACGAACAACAAACAAGACGTGGTAGGACTCTTTTTCTACCTATTAATCAGTCTGGGTACCAACCCTTAATGGGTAGGTACCAACCTTTTAATGCCGCCAAATAGCATTGCCTGCACTGTCGTGTTCTATTTCGAAGATTATAGAAAGCCAATATAATTATAAGCCGTGAGGCATTTCAGCTTAGACCTCAGAGGTGACAATGTATTTGTAGCCTGTTTATTTGAAGCTGGTTGCAGATGTCCATGGATTACAGTAGCCACTTGCCATCAGGTGGATTTTAAATTCGTTTGTCACTTCATTTTTATAAAAAAAAGATGGTGGTGCTTTAGAGAGTATTTTACGTATAGGGTAAGCTTTGTTTATTATGCGTTTAAAATTTTGCAAATTATATTTTTTACTTATTTTTGAATTATATTATAATTTTGAAATAAGAAATAAATCATGTAGATTTATTGAAAACTAAATACCAAAACTAAAATTATTAAACAGTCCCCGTGCCGCAGTGTTAAGAACACTGGCTGCGTTTCCTCGCTGAATGTCTTATTATACTTTGGGCCAAAAAATATACCACCGTCTTATCCACCAGTGGCGACGACCAGTCGCAGATACAGTTCCTTAAGAAACTTACCCGCGCGTGAACCTCACGAAATCATAGTCACTACAGCAAATAACACAAACACGAGTATGTAGTCATCTCTCCGAGGCTCATGTTTGCCATTGTGTTGTTTGCAAAATAATAAGTGAGGATATTGTTCTTACCAAATGTAAATATCCGATGACAAGGCACATTGCTCGGCTGTTGAGGCATGAAAATTTACTTCTAACAACTTCCATTGTAAAACTGAAAGGAAAATACAATAAATATTAAATATAGTACTCGTGCCAGGCAATATAGGGCTGACTTTGTATGTTTGCTATTTTATTTATTTATTTATTTAAAACATACACATGTGGTATATAAGCGGACTTAATGCCTAAGGTATTCTCTACCAGTCTACCTTGGGATGATGCAGAGATAGAATGAAGGAGGTGTTATAAAAAGATAATATGCCAATACTAAACTAAACTAACAAAAATAGTTGTAGCGCATGGTAATAAAATACATAAGATATAAATGGTATATCACAAAAATAAAAATACGATATATATATATATATATATATATATATATATATATATATATATATATATATATATATATATATAAAATAAGTTATAATAAAAATAATAAGGTAATAAAAAATGTATAGTAAGTACTTATTATCGATTAGATGTATTTGATGATTATCAGATGTATGTAAACTCATAAAGATAGGTATACAAATATACACATGATATATATATATATATATATATATATATATATATATATATATACATATACATATAAACTGTTACTATGATGATTCTGCCAATTTATTAATTAAGTGTTCCCGAACCTTCATCTTGAACGCGTAACGATTGCTGTCGTCCTGATTTCGAGAGGTAATGCGTTCCAAAGGAGAATAGATTGAATGTGGAAAGAAGAATGAACAAGTCCAGAGCTATGGGAGGGACATAGGAGAAGAAGGTTGTTCGTAGAGCGGAGGTTTCTCTCATGACTAGCGCTAAGCAACTGAAAGTAAGGAGATAAGTAGGAAGGGGAAGTTGGAGACATCAGGATAGAATAAAGGGTAGTAAGTCCACGCAAACTACGGCGTTCGTGAATATGTAACCATTTTAATTGAGATCGATAAGTGGATACATAGTCATACTTTCAAAGATTGAAAATAAATCGAATGCAGTTATTCAGAAGACGGTCATATTTATTGAGAAGATCTGCATTCAGGTCGAAATAACACACATCACCATAGTTGATTAGCGCAAAAATTTAACTATTCACAAGCGCAATGCTTGTGCAAAGTTTAATTTTTCCGCTGATTCTTTTGATTGCAGATGGTAGAAAATTTTTTTAGGCGATAGAGAGAACGCAGAGTACCGGTAACTTTCTGGCTAACGGTCGTTGCTTGGTCTTTCCAACTCAAGGTAGAATCAATTAATGAATCTAGATTCTTCACAGTAGAACACAATTGAATCTCAGTACTATTAAAAAAGATAGGAGGTAGAGCTACTGTTTTCAAAGGGAATTGGCGAAGGTTCTTGTTAACTTTTATTTGAAGATATTATTTTTGTTCGAAAATACACTTACAATGTAATTGAAAAACTAACTCGGTTATGACTATATTGTCTTCCTCTTCTTTATTGTACATATTGGATGCCATCTAATGTTGGATCAGAAGTTGAAGTAACTGGTCTATAGCAGGTTGGTGAATACAGAGCCAATACCTTCGAGCTGATATTTTTTTATAGAAGTAAGAGTGACTCATGAGTATACAGTCCAAATGATAGGAAAAGAATACTAAGTCTATCCTTGATTAAGAATTAAAAAGTTTTCACAATTTGATTATCTTTCGTCACTCGCTATAAAAAACACAGCAGCTATTTCACGCTGGACAGGCGTTTGTCTAGCAGTATGCTGGTAAATTTAAGGATTAAGAGAATATTTTAAGTACTATAAGTACAAATATCTCATACTTATATAGAACTCGAAGTAATTGTTATAATTATCACGGAGCACTTTATGCAGATGAAATTGGTTTTTTGATGAAAAATTTACATCTTCTTTACAACACTGTGTAATGAGTTATTGATTGAAGTGCTTAACGGTATTTACTAATTTGTTAAATTACTAAATAACAGTTTTTAGCAATTAATATTTTGTCTATTTAATTTTTAGAACTCCTTTTGTAATGAATCATTTCTAAAGATGTGTAATGTTAGTGACATTGTGCGTAATGGCGTAAGTTTGATGGTGTTTATAATCCATCCATTGTGATTTTGTGAGATTACTTCATCCTTTATAATGTTTTATCATGACAAATGCAGATGCCATGTTGTAACGTACCTACTTGGTTGGCTTTAAGCTGATGTCTTGGTGTCTTCAAAAAATGGAATAATGAGGTGGAGGTGTCATAATTTTTATATGATGAATTATTCTAATCCTACAAAAAATATTTTTTATACACCATGGAAAGATTGTCTTAACAAAAAAAATACAAAAATTAAGGGAACACAAAAGATGGTCTTTTTAATTTTTATGTATGATTGATACACAGCAATTTCTTCCAGACAACCCTAAAAATAATTGAATGAAAGGGGGAGAATTATTAATGGATAGGCTAACCTATGCACTTACAAATGGTAAAATTAAAAAAAATTGAACAAACGACTACAATATAAATAAAATTAGAACATCATCAATGTAGTTGAAGTCAATTAAATACGCTTTATTAAGGATAACTCAAAAACTACTGGTCATATCTAGATCAAATGATATGGGACCACTTAAAAAGCACTCTCTTTTAAATAAAAAGAGAATCATCAAAATCGGTTCATCTAGAAAAAAACATGCGTGAGTGTCGTGGAACACTCGGTTGCAACGAAGATTATATTATTGATTAACAAATACAAATAAATAAATTACTAGGGTCTATTAAAATGAAGCGTCATTTAAAATAAAATAATATTTCTTCCATGGCCAGATAAAAAAAAATGCGATGGAGATGGATATTATTCCATCTCGCTTCCTTATAGCCGCCAAGGTCGTCTACACTACGTCAGAAGGGGTCGTGACGGAAAAATCTTACACTTTTTCTCGCCTAGCCCCCATCCGCCAAATTTGTACCGTCCGATAAAGAACTTCGTTCCAAAAATTTCTGAGGTATCACACAAAAAACAGTCGAATTCAGTACCTCTTCCTTTTTTGAAGTAGGTTAAAAATACAGTAGACTTTAGGCGATATATCAGTCACCATTAATGAAAGGAGGAGGAGTTGAACTAATGTTTGGATTGAGCACATAATTTAATCCACAAAGGTAGGTCCAAATGTTTAACACAGAAAGATTTTAAATTGATTGCGGATGACAAACAGCACACAGTTCACCTGGTGGTAGGTAAGTGTATACTGCGAGACATCTATATTTATCCTCGATTAAAAATCAAAATTTATAAGCTTTGTCACCCTTGAGGACTAAGATAGAATGCCTCATTACTAGTAAAAAGGGTCTTTGATTCTCTACGCTTACCATACAAAACACAGCCGCATTAAAAGGCTGCACAGAATACGCTGGTATTCTGTGAGATCATGGTCCTTCACCAGTCGAGCCGGCCGGGTTCTGTCTAAAGGCATATACGTATATGCCTTGAGATAAAGTCCTGAACTTTACTATAAAATGTCCAAATTACACTTTTTATCGAAAAATATACTACAATTTAGTTAAAATATAGAGTTCAGTAATTTATTTACGTAGTTTTGAGTGACACATAAGTTAAGTTGGTAGAATAATGTATCTTAGTTTGTATTGCCAGGTTAGAATTTTTTCGGGTCGACGTGATTTTCAGGGGTCTGGTGACACGTCCCGATTCACTCTTGATCGGGACGCTAAACTTCCCGATTTGTCACTTACCTCCTTAATCTGTACTTAGACCAATAATTTAGACAGCAAAAATGAATACATCTGCAATTTATGTATGTAATTGTGGTCAAGATAAGTAAATTAATATAAATAAAAACGTCTTATGGGTATGTTTTACGGTAGAACTTCTACCACTACTTAATTTCTTCAAGCGGTGGTATTGTCTCATTAAAAAGTTACATTATGCGTATAATGCTAGAAGTTGTGTCTGGATGTTTGAGGATATATATAACGACTAAAAAAACTACAAAGTCCCTGTTTTTTGGAGCCATTGAAGCTGCCCCGATTTGAAAACCAAATTCCCGATTATTTTTACCTTCCGCCCCCGAAATTTGTCACAATAGATCTGGCAACACTAATTATAGTACTTTAATGCCTGTGATGAAAAAATCTTTAAATTACAAAGAATTTGTTTAATACTAACCTACCTATGAAATATCGATTTATTTACTCATTACCATATCAATAAAATATTTTTAGAACAAACTTTATTGTCATTCAATGACATTCACATTTCAAGTATATTTATTCTACAAATAAAACTGAAAAACTAAATTTTATAGAATTGATATTGTAGCAAGTACCCTATAAGTTTTACACAGTACATTAAATAGTTTACAATAAAAACTTACCTCTTTGAGTTTCCGCAGAATCTACAATTAATATTCTAGCACAAAATATAAGAACGTTTGATATTATGTGCAGGAGAATTCAACAACTGTGTACTTCGTTACACACTAACTTGGTAATGCCGCGCTCGCGCATCGAAATCAACACACATATTTCATTGTTATTGAAACGAAACTATAAGAAACGTAAGACAGTGTAAATGTGTGCGTCAATACTTGGTAAGCCTAGAATGTAAAATAGCGGAGGAAATGGATACCATAGTAATGTTACAACATCATCACTGCTTTTACACTTAGCAAACTATATATACAGCCTACTTAAGAAGAAATGGAATGTCAACAGTGATTTAAAAATACGATTATGTTTCCAGTGAGAATTTAATGCCATCTACCAACGGCGGCATTAAATATATGGTATAAACAGTACTTAGCGATTAAAAAGTGCGGGCGGGCTATTGTTATTTGTTAGTAGAATCACTTATTTAATGACATGAAACATGATTCATGCAACGATAACGACCGCACGTATTTAAATCAGATACTAAATACTAAGAACACAATATAATATGTATAATTTACAATACAAATTTTATTTCTTTTTGTCCGTATTGAAATTTAATTCTTAAACATGCAGTAAAATGTTGCGAAATATTTTTTTAAAGTTCATTTATATTTATAAATGATATCGTCT